ATGAATGTTAATAAATTTTGTTTATTTTATCGAAACTGTAACTTTTCAATAATTTTACTGATGTATTGATCACATGTATCATATATATATATATATACTTATTAGGTTATAAAGTAACAGAGTTTGTCAACGGTGAAATTGGACAATTAGTTTTTTTCATTGTTACTTAAAATGTTACCTACTCTAAATGCTCATGATTATAAGAATTGTATTTGTTAATAGTTGAGTTCATGAGTCATTTGAAGCTAGACCATCATGGAAAACCTGAAAGCACTGGATGGCTGTTTCGTCCTATTGTGGGACTCTTCAGAAGTGCGCATCAACTATCCCGTACCCCACGAGATTCGAACTCAGGACCTATCAGTCGCGCCCGCTGAAATATTGATGATTCGAATAAAAAACATAGATATTTATTATCTTTAAAGATTTCTTTAATCGGTAGTTTTGAATAATTTGAGTCGATCTACAAGAAACCATCTTATTTGAGATTTGTATTTGTTAATATTCATTATGAAAGTGAATTTATGAAATCTACTCTAAATTGTTCTGTAACTAAATTAATGTTTCCAACTTAATACTAGGACGAAATAGTCGTCCAGTGCTTCCACGTTTTCAATCGTGTTCTAGCTTTGATCAGTTCGTGATGTCAAATGCATTAATTAAAAATGTCTGAATACTCTGCTTGTTATGAGACACGACTAAGTATACTAGTTATTTACACAATAATAACTAATATCATGTCATCTGTCTACGTTTGACCATTCATAGCAGGTTTATATTAAATGCAGTGAACAAAACTAATGAATGAAAATTAATTAGTAGTGTGCTTTGATTCTTAATTATATTAGTATATTTTGAGCACTTCTGAAAAATTTTTATGACTTATAGACCTGTCAATTAACACGTGAAAAATCGCCAATCAGAATACCGATTTATAAAACCTTGTTCTTGTGCTAAGCCAACAATGTGTTAACAAGCACGAGTAGCCTTCAGTCAACTCTCAGTTCATATTGGTTCTTCATCTAGTAGCTTCTCACATCACCCACCCAGTTCAGTCCAGAACACAAATACCAACCTCCACTACATCAATCATATATTTCACATATACTTGGCTTATATACAAGTAGACCAGACAGCATTACACTATAACAATGGTAAATCTTATAACAGTAGCTAATAGGTCAAATGAAAGCTTGTGATAAAACGAATATGAATATACATATAACCTTTTACTTAGTAGTCATCTAACAAGAATAATGTAATGATAATCCATCAATAATCCCTAGCAGTTAACAATCAATTATTCTTTGTTCGGATATAACACTTCTAAAATAGTAACTAGTTGCATTACTTTTCGAAAATACTAAGGCGGCATAACTTAAAGTATGAAATTATTCACATAAAATTTAGTGTTAGAAACTGTATTCAAATCAAAATCTGCATACTCTTGAAAACAGACGGTTATCAGTTAGTTTACTAAGTGTTCGTATATTTAAATGGAAGCATAAAGAACATTATACATTGATTCTAATGTCAAGTATTATTTGATGGATATTGAATAGTCTTTAATAATATTTTTGGTTGATTTATTACCCAACAGTGAGTGAACTTTCTTAATGCATTCTCTGATTCAAAAAGTATCATTATCCAAATAAACAATGTCTTATCTATGCTGTCAGTACAGACTAATAACTTCGATTCATCTATGTAGGTTATTTAGAATCAGAAATTTGTAACAATGAATTTGTGTTGCTTCAGTAATGCTTTGAAGGCATCAGTGATCAGATAGTTGTAATCTATTCAGATCATCTAAACTCCATCACAAAATCAAACAAGTCATTAGTTCTTTTTAGACTATTATGCTGATAATGTTTACATTTTACAGGCACAGTAATTTCTCGAATATTTTTTTATATTTGTACTCATCTTAAAGGAAATATTATCAATTATTAAAACAATTTACACTAACATATAGCCCTATATAATTAGACTAATAATATACAAACTAAATACAACTTTTCATATCTAATCGATAGTATTTGTTATTCTTACATTTTATACTACTTAGACAGTAATTTTTTTTAATTCCTGAATAAATTTTCTCTCTATGTTTTCTTTGGGAATTATTGTTTATTTGTTTCATTTTGTGATTATATATATATATATATATATATATATATATATATATATATATATTACAATTGAACAAAAGTTGGCTATTCTATACACATTTTGACAATATATTATTAATAATAGACTATATATATATATATATATATATATACACTTGAAATTTTCTGGCGGGTAAATATGAAATCATTTCACGAATACTTTTTCGAATAAATAAGTACATTTTTTCTAATTACAGTTCATGATACGGGCGAAAATCAAAATTGATAATGTGACATGATATGACCTTCAGACTAATTTTAATGAGATACACATTGAGTAAGTCAGATTAAACTTTTCAAGTCACATGAAGTGTCAAGGTTATGTAGTAAATCACATAGAAGATTCGGTAAACTATAATGAATAAATAGATAGCTCACCTTAGTATACTGTCTACAAACAAGTCATGTAAGTCATTACTGGTTATTTATGAATACAACTAAGCTGTAATTACTACAACATCTTATAGAATTCGCAGTCTCGCCTTTTCTATTAGGGTTGGTCACGTGTTCGAGGTGTACATAAGCGGCTGAACCAGACGGAAAATTACAATAGTGATAAAGATGTTTGTTTTTTTATCTCTGCCATTGAATTTTAAACAAGTAAATTTGTTTCCTATATTTAGACAAAGTAGCTGAGATTATATTGTGGTAAATGCTACTTATGCTGATAGATATAAGTTGTATGTTGCAGCAATCAGAAGTGGAATCCCTGCAAACATAAGATTGAATTGAAGAAAAACAGAGAGCAATTATAATAAAAATAGAATTGGAGAAATCATGAAGTATGTAAGGGATAATTGAAGGAAGATGTGTAAATAATGTACTTAATGTTTGATTTCCAAATTTTGTGAAGCCATTGTGTAATTTTGCATGACCGATAATTTGGCTTATAGGCATCTGAATGTTCGTCCGCTACAGTACTACTTTCTTTTCTTACAACAACTACTACATACATTTTATTTACTGAAAGTTCAGAATATATTGTCTTGTTTTATTTTCTCAAACGTTGAAAAAGGAAGCTAAAATCAGCTTTAACATAACTTTTACTTTTACATTGTTTTATAATTATAGCGAAGTTTTCGTATAAATATCGAATGAAAGGTTTGTATTATTTTCGGTTTTCAGAATAGTTGGTGTCTCAACTATTGAACATGTTACCTATGAACTGCTGAGTCAAATGCTGCCAATAGTCTTTTAAAACCGTTTTAGTGTCACTGAAGTATATTTCAAAGTGAATACTTGCCTGATGTGGCCGGTTCAAATTGTGGAGTTCATAGAACAATGTAACACCTATTACTGACTGTTGTGGGACAATAAACGACTAGAGAGGTTACAACGGTTTATCAACCAAATCAACAAGGAAACAGCTGATAACAAATAATTACGAAACATGAACATAGTAAAGGTTACAACCAACAGTTTGAATTACTACAATGTCTACAACAATAAATTAACAATAAATGATTTATCTATTTACGACTTGTATTACTCCAACACTGCCATACAATCTTATTCACATACAGAGAATTTGTGAACGCTAAACAAACACGTTCCGATTCGATCAAGTAAAGACCAATAGTATCAATATGTCAACTTCCTCGACTGTGGGTTTTTCTATTTATTTTCATCTTAGAGTTGGTTCCATACAATTTTAGCTTTGGATAAAACAATTTTATAGAAATAAAGAAAATTCAGCGAAGAAAATTCTTTCGAGAAAAAGAAAATTTTCTTTATTTTTATCCAATATTACTTTAGACTTCCATAGTTTTTCAATAATTTCAAACTTCGGCACAAACTGCATCGTCATAGCGAATCATGAAATCTAAACTTTGACAATCATCCAAAAATAATTTAAAATGGATGGTAGAAAAAATTGTATTTAACTGTTCATTTCAAGGTCAATATTAGTAGATACACCAAAATAATACGGTTAATGATCATTACCTTGGAATGCTATTTTTACTTAATAATAAAATCGAGGGTCACATGTGCATATGTATAAATAGTTGAAATTAGCTCAAATTCTACCACATTTACCGCGAAATTAATATTCAATATTTTAAAAATTAATGAGTAAAAATTCTGGCATGATATTTAAATGATGTTGATCCAGCTTATGAATAAAAGCATACTGTATGTTTTGTTATCGATCTATTCTACATGCAACAAATTCTCCTAGATAGAAGTATCGTCAAAGTTTCTGCTGTTGGCATTTAGTTTAGCACATGATATTTTTCATCATTACAAGCTCAAAACACTTTAACATAACATCGTGCACACGCATACATAAACAGAATAACGACTATTGTTATTTATATGACAGTACTAATTTATTGAATAGAATTTAGAATAAACTATGTTATTGGAGTGTACATACTCACAGACATCTATAATACAGAATTTCTACATATTTAAGAAAACCTTTTTATGAAGTCTCATCTTTATCTTACGTATCGTTCCAGAAATATTGATCAAGTTTTTGAACAATATAGACCAACTTTAATTTGATATAATTTGTTTTTTTTAGTGTGTTACGGCTTATTTGAAACCAATCGTGTGATGATATTCAGTTATTGTTATTGGTGAGTTTGTAGGACCGATAATTTTGTTGGTCAGACTTAACACTTAATCTTGACTGAACGAATCGTAGAAGACAGAACGATTACACAACTGACTGAATATTTTTATACATGAGTTATATTGGTTAATAAAAAATATGTACACCACAGATGAAGATTAAGATTACAAAATAGCCAATTCTCATTCACATTTAATGCTATTTTAACGTTTTAATTAAACTTGTTGCCTAATGAAGCACCAGAGTGTACCTCACCATACTATTAAATCCTCAGAGAAACTAGTTGTGGAATAAAATTGAATTATTATGAATGTACAACAAAGGGATAGTTGATATGAGCCAGGTTTAAATAATCTGCTCGCTGCTATCAGATCTGACCTGTATTTAATGTAGAAATTTTACGGTAATGAAGTTGTTTCACCTATTTCTGTGGCTGTTCAACGATTTCAATTCACAAATCCTGTTATAGGAATTCTGTGACAATTTCCAGGTACATAATTTGTAATTCTTTATAATAATATTTCTCATGGCAACGAAAAATATCATGACTGTATTTCTAAATAAACAACAAAAACAGAAGTTAGTGGATGTATTTTAATTTTCATGAAATATTGCAACAGATAAATGCATCCATATTCATTTAATCAGTGTTAATATATGATATGGTATAAATACGCATCGGTTCAAATTGCCACATTCATACATTGTCTCGATATAGCCGCTTCTCCTGAACATAAGGAATTCGGAGATAGCGAAGCAAACGTCTTGAATCCAATCAGAAAATTCATTATCCACAAACGTACCAGGGCTGATGAGACTTTTATGATAAATTATACTGGTATCAAATTAAACCGGAGGCTACAGAGGTTTACTTTAGTTATTTACAATAAATGCATTATCATGTTTATTCTTATACATTATTTCCAGGTTGTACGATAATCACAGATCATAAGAACTGTTCTTGCATAATATTGTCTTTTTATTATTTATGATATTTCTTGTTCATTACAATGAATATTCATGTTAGGTCTTAGCATATCATTTATAGTTACCTTAATATTGACAACGAAAATAAGGACACCACATTTACACTTTGTGTTTGTTTTGTGGAAATTTCGTTCGCAAGATGGATTTGTTTCGTATTTGTCTTGATTTAAGAATAAAATGAATTGACAATTGTAATAATAAAAATAAAAGTTAATATAAAATTCTCTACCACAACTTGTCAACAAAATATAATGTACGATAAAAATATATGGTTGAAATAGAATTAACAGAGAGGCTTTATGATTGGAGGTGAATGATAGATAATAATTATTTGAAAAGCTTTTTAAAACAAATTTTTTGAAAGTTTTAATTTAATGTATATCAAAAGGGGAATTTGTTCTAAAATTTTATATTTTACATTGAAAATTATTTACGATAACTAAGGAAATAGTAATGAGTGTGATGAACGTCTGAAATACGTCTATGTTTGCTTTTGTATACACTTGAACAACCCACTAGTACTCTTTGGAATAAGAGACAACATTCGTTGAATTCTCTAAGTTGGGTGTTTTATTTTTAAATCTAGGCGCGTCAACACAAAACCAATCCAACAATCTATGAGGTTAGGGTCAGTCAATCACATGTTCAGAGGTAATCAATCAGTCGAAGTGTAAATGCACATGAAGGTTGGAAAAAATGGCTATCCAACGTAGACAATGTAATAATGATGTTATAAGGGACGCTCCTAGTGTATCGTTCCCAGAAAATTTACACATATATCCGTATATTCAGTGTGTGAATGCTTCATGCAGCGGTGTGATTTTCATTAAAGATTGCATTTATAACACCTAGTGTTATTTATTACTATCTTTTCTGAACACGTCAATGTAGAGCAATCAACATGGAGAATGAAAAACACAAACAGAAAAGCAATGGCCTTAAGTGAAATGACTAATGAGGAGTAAACTTTAATACGAAACACGCCCCTACTAAATGAAGGGTAATATAAATGGAAGTACTGGATACAAAAAATAGAGATAGTGAACAATCTCAGCAGCAGTGTAATGCAATTGAAAATAACATACTCAAACAATACTTGAGATGATAGATATAACCCGAATGAAACAAAAATTTAACTATACACATAGCGATTAATTAAAGTTCCGTATACAGTAAGTTTTTGTATCAATCGTTTATTTATTTGAAGATGCATGAAACCCTTCTAGAGTTACTGATGGTCCAAAACAAAGGTTAAAGAGGAGGGTTGGGAATATGGTCAATCGCGTAGAAGACAACTCGGCTAAAAACAACACGCTAACAAGAAAAAAACAACTTCAACTATTTAACCTCGGTCATCCCAGTTCAAGAATCTTCATTCAGAGGAATTATGAAGAGTCATGTTGAAAGACGAGATTCTCCCGAAGTCACCGAACCGATACTACTCCTCACAACCAAGGCAACAGTTAACACAGGTACATAGAATGTCCGAACAATGTGCCAGATTGAGAGGACCAATCAAATAGTTGAGGAAATTAAGAGATACAACTTGACAGTGCTCCGAATCAGTCAAACACATTGGACCCAATCTGGACAGAAAATATTAGGTTAAGGAGAGATGTCGTTCTACTCTGGTCATGAAGGAGAAAACGCTTCGCATATTCAGGAAGTTGCTCTGATGCTGTCCAAAGAACCACGTAAAGCACTTATTGGATGCGAATCTCATAGGTCTAGAATCATCGAATTGCTCCTTAAAACAAAGAAGGAGGTGATCACAATGAATGCTATTCAGTTATACGCGCCCACCAATCACAGCAAAGAAGACAATAAACATCAGTTTCATAAGAGACTCCAGTTGATTGTAGAGAAGTGTATAGGAAAGGACCTGATCATCCTGATAGGATGGGACGGACTACTTAACGGGTATGAAGATATCATGGGACGACATGCACTGGGTAAAAGAAATGAGAATGATGACAGAGTTGCAAATTTATATACCTTCAACAAAATGGTTATAGGTGGCAATGTATTCCTCCACAAACGCATACACAAAGTTACGTGGGTCTCACAGGATCACACTACACAGAACCAAGTCAAGCATATTTTTACCAATAAAGTATTAAGAACGTCAATGGAACACGTAAGAACAAAGAAAGCAGCCAAACCTGACAACATACCAGCTGAAGTAATAAAGTCAGACCACCGACACATTGGAAATAATGACACCTCATCAATATACCAAAGTAAGGAGAAATACAGAGGCATCACACCAACATCAATATCGGCAAAACTTTTCAACACAGTGTTGCTGAACCGGATAAAAGACTCAGTAGAGATAAACAGGCTGGATTCCATATGATCAGTTATGCACATACCAAATCACAACAATACGGATCATCGTTAAACAATCAATTGAATGCAATTCGTCACTATACATCAACTCGCTTGATTATGAGAAAGCATTTGATAATGTGAATAGGCAGACATTGTGGAACCTCCTTCGACACTATGGTGTACCTGGCAAGATTCTCAACATCAAACGGAATTCATACGACGGACTACACAGCAGTGTCGCATGGAGGACAGCTCACAAACTCATTCCAAGTGAGGACCGGAGTCAGACAAGGCTGCTTACTCTCCTCCTCCCTCTTCCTCCTAGTGACTGAATGAATTACCAAGACCTCAACATATGAGGAGAAGCACAGAATACAATGGACAAATTCCATGCAACCAGTCGATTTGGACTGCACAAACGACCTCGTTCTTCTATCTCACACACACATCAACAAATATAGGTGAAGACAGTCAGTGTAGCAGCAGCCTCTGCATCAGTAGGCCTCAACATACACAAGGTTAAAAGCAACGTCCTGAAATATAACACTGAGAACACCAACTAAATCAATCACACTCGATAGAGAATCTCTGCAAGAGGTGGAAACTTTCACCTACCTGTACAATTGTTTGCAAGTCAACGGTAAAGTCAGAATCTTCAATACGAACGTTAAAACAGTTCTAGGGTATGGAGTTGAAACTTGGACATCTACTACAACCACCATCAAAAATGTACAAGTGTTTATCAATAGTTGAATATACTCAAGATACTCAATGTCCGTTGACCGGATACCATCAGCAACAGCCTACCAGTAGGTGACAAACCAACTTCCAGCTGAACAGGTGATCAGGAAAAGACGTTGGAAGTGGATAGGAAATACATTATGGAAATCATGAAACTGCATTACGAGACAAGTGCTAATTTGGGAACCTGAAGGAAGAAAGAAGAGGAAGAGCAAGGAGCACATCTTTTCGGGAATCGGAGGCAGAGATCAAAAGAACGAATAACGACTGAGAACAGCTGGAAAGGGCGGCCAGGGCACATTTCGATGGAATTCCAGTGTGTGCCCTTCCAGGAGAGGTAACAGGTTTAATAAATTAGATAAATAAGTACATGATTGATTGTTCACTATCAAAGAAATTCATATACTAAGTTACCACTCCGACAAACAAACATTCTCATACTGAGTTACTTATCCAATCACTGAATTATTACGAACATTGGTATATTGTTGTATAAATTTCCCTTTTCTAATAAAATACAAGACTTAAATTATCATTTACCCAACAGTTACTTTTATGTGACAATTGGTTTGATGATTTAGTTCACTTCGAAAACTGAACACACTACATTTATCACGTGAATTATCAAAAATGATTAGATTTCAAAGTATAATAAAGGGATTTGAGGAAATTGCTGAATTTCGTAGTTTACATCACAAGCCGAAATCCGCTAAATAACTACTGAAAACCAAGAAGTATTAGATAGCTTTTTCGTCCAAGTAGGGGATTCCTCCGGAGTACGTATTCACAACCGCATTCGGGTTTGAAGGGAGGATCTTTAGATCTTGTGATGGTAACTGTAAGATAAAACGGTTTCAGAAAATCCCCCACAGTAATAACAACCATACACTCAACTGTGACTACTGTCGAGAGGTAATTCCGAGAGTTGTAGTGGTAAGGTGTGACCAGTGAGGATCAACTATGGCGGGTATGAGGCAGTCACCCATTAATGGTACTGAAAGATGGTTGCGCAATGTAGCCAATTAATTGAAGTTAGAAATGTTATCCACAGGATGGCGACTCAGTGGATTAAGGGTTAAGGAGTAGCAGCGAGACCGAATGTTTTGGGTTCGGCTTACGGTGGGGTCGTGTATATGCACTTCTGATGGGTCCCATAAGGGGAAGGAACAGCCGTCTAGTGCTTCCTGGTTTTCAATGGTGATCTAAGACCAGCTCTTGATATAACAACTATCGAAATTCTATAGTCGCCGCAAAACCCTATAATGATAATTTCAGAGTAATTAAGTAATAGAGATTTACTCATTGATTGAATCTATCCTACGTATATTCGTTTTTTGTTTGACTAAGGTAATGGTTATAAATCAAAGAACCTCGCTGGAAATTATCGTAAACCAGAACAACCAGTGAAAAGCGAAACAGGAGGGTAGAGCACTTCAAGAAACTCTTGAATCGACCAGCCCCATTGAACCCACCCAATCAATATTGGCTCACCGACAG